ATATATATATATATAGGTACCGATAAACGGTGTTACTAAAGAACATAAAGAATAGAGCCCGGCTCAAGGTCAAACAAGTAAATAGAGGTAATAGATAGTCAGGTAAATAGGTCACACACCACTCTCGAGATCTTGGAAGTGCTTTTTGTACTCCGCAGCTTGTGCGAAAGCTTTCGCCTGGCTAATATCTTACTGTGATGTGTGGTAGCGGAGAGAAAACTCAATTATTCGCGGGCTGACTTCCAGTCAGTGAATCCAATGCTTTTTTATTGGACAGCTGTGCCAAAATGGTTATCCCAACTACGCGCTGATATTCCCGTAGCCGGCTGCAAGGGAACAACCAGCTGCATCGGTACATCACTTCCCCCGTTGCAGCTGGCCATTGCAGCTGGTTGACCCGTCCTGGTGGACGCCGGTACCACTCCCACTGGAGGCCAAACCAACCATCCTTCTGCTCTACGCAGGAAAGGACGATGCGGGTTCGCTGGACTCCTGCATCCACGCTACGTGCCCAGATCTCTCACCTCTGATCTGGGCGGTTGACATTCGACGGGACAAGGGGCCCCTTGGCCAGGACATGCTGCAGCCACCCCTTTGGAACCACCTCTGCTCTCTGGCTGTTGCTGGGCTACTCCTCTTTGTTGGGGGAGGCCCAAACTGTCGCACCTGGAGCATCCTTCGATGGTTCCCCAAGCCCAACGCCCCTAGGCCAGTGAGGGGGCGCAGCGAGCAGCACGTGTGGGGCCTCCCCTCCAACACTGCGGACGAGCAGGCTGACGCAGACAATGACAGCATACTTGTGCTCCGCCAGATGTACTTGACCTCACTGGCGTACCAAGGCCTCTCCCAGTGCCATCCACCGAGGGTGGGGTACTCCTTCCTGGAACACCCCCGGGACCCCATAAATTCAGTGCCAGCCCCCAAACACACAAGTGCTCCTCATTGTGGGTGACCCGAGCGTACATCAAGTGGGCCAACCAGTTGCACCACCATCGCATCAAGTTTGACCAGTGTAGACTGCAACCTCCCTATCGACTGACCTCCCATTACACCACTGGCAGGATCTTCAACCCTTGGGGGACCTCCAATCCAGTGACCTCACCCGCTCCCCGGACCAGATGATGTTAGGCTTGGCTCAGGCCATCGCCAAGGTCCTCCAGGTCCCCCCCAAGCCCACCCACCAGAATTCGGGGGACCCGGACCAATACCCTCCCTCCAAGAGGTCCCAAGACGAGCCAGCAAGGCAGCCAGGGCCATCGCTGGCCTTACACGGGCAGCACCGCCGCCAATGCGGCCACTCGTCCCGCTGCTGTGGAGGACACGTGGCATACCAGTACGGTGTGGTCTGACTGCCCCAAGTTTGATCCCATCTCCGAGGATCTCTCGATCAGGACCCCCTGATGCGCCTCCAGGTGGCCTTCAAGACCAGACCATCCTGGGGCCGGATGGCCCCCTGGGCCAGACCTGCCTCCGCCCTGGCCCGGCTAGGGGCCAAGATCCTTGCACTGACCGCTCCGTTCACTGACCAAGTCATGTGGTCAATCACGCGCGGATCCAAGCAACACCCATACCCAGACCCACTGCTGGAGGACATCAGACAGGTCCTCCATCCTGGCCACCAACACACCACACCAGACGGGCAGCCCTTCTACCTGGAGCTGATCTCGCAACTCGCAAACACAGCCGGGGACCCAGATTGGCAGTACCCTCAGATCCTTGCCACGGGCGTTCCCCTGGCGGTCTCGGTTCCCACCCTCCCCTCCCCTGGAGTGTGGCCCCTCAAGAGCGAACTCGCGGGTGAAGACCCCGTTGAAGCACCTCTGGATGACCCCAAAGGCCATCGCAATTACCCATCGGCGGCAGACTTCTCCAAAGAGATCCGGGCTACCTTCGCAGAGCAGGTCCCACTGGGCATGACGGTTGGCCCACTGTCTCGGCAACAAGCGGCCGACCTCGGGGGATGTGACCCGACAGAGCTCTGCCCAGGCCCCCTGGTGGGAATCGATGAAGGGGACAAGGTCCGTACCATCTATGATGGTTCGGTCGGGGGAGCGAATGCCAAGATCCAACAAAACACTAAGGAGCGGACCACAGCACCCACAGTCCTGGATTGTGTCCATGCCATCCATTGGCTTCATGCCGCCAGACATACTGAGGCCGGAGCACGCCCCCGGCCTAGTCCAGGAGCCTTTGGCCCTGAACGGGCAGGGGACCCGGGCGACCCAGCCCCAGCTGGGACTGGCCCTCCAACAACAGCCAATGGATGCTGCTGAAGGCTGATGTGACTAAGCCCCACCAACGAATCAAGGTCCTGCCCCAAGACTGGCGCTTCCAGGTAGCACAGTTGGAGGACGAATGGTGGGTCAACAAAGTGGGCACCTACGGCATGGCGAGTGCACAGCTTTACTGGGGCCGAATGGCGGCCTTGCTCTTACGGATCCTCTACTACCTCTTCCCCCAGATTGATTGGGGCTTTGTCTTCGTCGATGACTTCTGCTGGCTCCTTCGCCTACCCACCGGACCGCAATTCACTGCGGCTCTCTTGGGCACACTAGTGGCGTTGGGAACTCCCCTCAGCTGGAAGAAGACTCACCTGGCCGAGATCAATACCTGGCTCGGGTTCGTGATCCACCCGACCATACCCCGAGTCCAGATGGCGGCCCCGAAGCACATCAAGGTCATGGAGCTCCTGGAGGAACTTGCCAATGAATCCCCCATGTCAGCAAAGGCCATCGAGAAGGCAATGGGGCGGATCCAATGGGCAACAGCGTGCTGCCCCCTGACCAAGTCCATGCTCCAACCACTCTGGGCTTGGAAGATGGCAGTCAAGACCACGGGCCACCCACCCAAGGCGGTCCGTATGTTGGCCTCTCTCCTGAAGGAGCTCTTCACTCACCCCTTCGAACAATACTCACCTTTCTTGCCGAAGTCTCCCTGGTGGGGATGCAGCGATGCCAGTGCATCAAGGACTGGTGAAGCCTATGTTGGGGGCTGGTGCTCGGCCTCCCCAAACTCCACCAAGGACACGGTCCTATGGTTTCACTATGCCATCACAGCAGACGCACATCCTTGGGCATTCAAAGATGGCAACCCTCAGAAGCGCATAGACATCTTCAGCCTGCTCAACCTCTCGGCCAAGAAACCTTACTCGGCTGCACTGCTGATGGAATTGGTTCTTTTCCTTCATTGTGAGGGCTGTAGCATTGCCCCTAATCACGTCCCCAGAGAATACAATACCTGGGCGGACGAACTTACTCACCCGGACTTTGAAGGGTTCTCCTTTGCCGGCTACCGGCCCCGGAGACTCTCTTTGTTTTTCCTTTTGCCACAAGACTTTTGTCTTCGACGGGATTTTCCTAGATGCCCACCCAAGATCCCGCGACCGGATCCGGTGGGCAGTCCTCCCGACCCTGTCCCCTGGCACCTCGACAGGTGCCCATTGGCCCTGGGAGGACCACTCGGGTGTTTGGCAGCGGTGGGCGAATCCTACTGCCTGACACACCCTTGTCCCCTGGCGAAGGTCAGGGCATTTTGAAACTGACCAAAAGATACAGGGTCTGGGGGAGGACCCCAGCATCAACCAAAGCGCAATGGGAAAAGCCTGCATGCAGCTTTTTGCGCTCTTGGGATCTTTTTGACTTCTGGGTACATATATATATATATAATTTCATATGGCTTGTGTTGCCTCATTTCTATGGTCTTTTCCTTGTTTGTTGTTGAGGTCAAGCAATCGATCGAGCGTATTGACAAAAGGAGCAGACAAGGAGAGCCGAAGCGTCAGGTGTCATTTTCGTTGGCGGAGCAGGTCAGAGCAACAAGCAACGAAAGTCAACGAACAATCTAAACTCCTCAGACACAACATGTGAAAGGTTCAGTCTAGTAAGGCCAGGAGCTACTAGTAGCGTCCTTGCTCCTAGTAGCGATGCCCTTTGTTACTAGTAGCGTTTTTGTTCCTAGTAGTACGGCCAGGAGCCCCCAGTAGCGTTCTTGTTACTAGCAACCTGGTGTGCACGATGTGGAGGCATTGAGAGATGCCTGGACTGAGATGGCTTGGCGAACTTGTGCTCCAGTCGCGTCAACCTGCCAAAGTGGACACGTCGCAGTTCTGGATCTTCGTTCGGCGTTTTGTTATCTGTTGATTTCTTTGAGCTCTGGGCCATGAAACTCGTTAAGCTGCTCCCTCTACAACTTTTTGTCAGGTTGTTTGCTGTTCAGTGAACGAATCAACTGACACGACTAGCTCCCCGCCTTGACTTTTTGTAGAATTAGTTGTTTTTTGGGCAAAGTCATGCAAACCGAATTAGGATTTGTGTCAGAGGCAAGTACTACATGCGGCGTGATGCTTTCAGAAAAGTGCACTGCAAGGGAGGACTCTTGCAATGTGAGCTCTCAGGGACTTGTGGCTAAGACCGCCAGGACCCCGGGAAATTCAGGAGACAGCAATCATCATTGCTAAGAGCAGATCATAGAAATCATAGAAATCATTTCCACTTGGCTTGAGGATCATTGACACAGCGCACCTACATTTTGCAACAGTTCTTGTGGTCTTCGAGTTTCGACAATGTATATATGCATCCAGTGTCCTTTGCAACAAGTTTAATTGCTATTAGGTTGGAAGGGTTGGAGGTCATCACTATTAGGTTGGAGGCCATTGCATGTTTCCATGTTCATGTTTGTTCCACTGAAGCAGTTCTTGAAAGGCTCATTAATTTGACAAATAACTTACAGTAATTACATTCGCTCGCAGCCACAAATGCTCGGAGTGCCGTGTGACCATTGACTTTGCACCGGCCCCGTGGGGAAACCAAGACAGAAAGGTTCTGAAACTACTTGTCTTGTCTAGGCCCTAGGCAGCATTGTTTTCATTGTTAATTCCACGCGTTCTGTTCCTAGCATTCCCAGATCAGATAGCAAAATGAATCAAACATGGATTACCAGAGAGTCGAACATACAAAACAGATCAAGCCACAATCCCCAGATTGAGTCCACATGGAGAGTGTACATATTCTTCATTTTTTCACACGCAATTGAATTGAAACAACTTTCAGAAGTTGGGTGGCACTCAATAGTTGAACGATTTGAATTAGAGTGGCATGTGCGCGAGTAGCCCCTTCCTGACATTATATATTATATATATATCTATTCTCCACACAAATGCGTTTATTCCCTTAATGTATTTGTGTTGCTCCAAAGAGTGTTCCACTCGTCCATTTGTATATGCATAACCCTTGGGCCATTGGGCCAGGTGGCGGGCATCCACAACCAACCCGGTATTGAAAGGCTTCACGTTTGCACCGACGCAAAGAAAGCATCCTTGTTTTCTTGATTAGTCTGCCAGCGGAACTACATTTGACTACACCAAAGTTTGAGTGATACTTGCTTGGAACCAAATATTTGCAGAGACGTGAGCTTTGACAGCCTGCGGACTACATGTCTTGAAGAAGCAGTTGATAAGGTCACGTCTCTCAAAATGCCTTTCAGAAATTGGTGCGAAAAGGAACAAGCAGTTGCGACCCATTGCCCCTTATGGCCCAATATCAGCATCAGCATACACAGCTTTCTATTCATTTGCGAGTTTTACTGTGTGAGTTCTTCCTGCCTTTCCTTGGCCTTGAATGAGCATCAATGGCAGGACAAATTACGTTTGCTTCACCATCACAGAGAATGCCTTCTGCTTCTGCGGCTGCCCTACGTTTGAAGGTCTTTGGAGGTTAAGATTTGACCATTACCAAAGGCACCCTACCGAAGCATTTTCTATCATTTTCTCATACCATGGACGTAAACTGGCGTAAATAATTTGCCATGACAGTGGCACCGGTTGATCTTGATGCCGATGCCTTCAGCGGCGAAAGCCAGCAGTGCAAGTTGTCAAACCTCGAAGAACATACGCTCAACATAGATTAACAATCATAACATCCATATCCATGACATGCATTGCCACGCCTTTTTTTTGATTTAAGGAACTTTTGATGCCAGTCCCACTCAGACCTTCAAGAAATTGATGAGACATTTATAGACCACGATCAACCGAGGCGGTTGCTTTGTGGAGCACTGCTCTCGTGACCTCGGAGGCCGGATGAGAGGGCATGGCTTCCCTAAGGATCTCATGGGCACAGCTTAGAGATGCTTAGAGCCTCTCTCAGAAGGAGCAGTGATCCTGCGATGTATAAAGGCACGCTCTCTATTGTGCGACTTTGAGAAGGCGTCAAAGCCCTGTCGCGTGGTTTTCTAGCAGAGAGGCTTGCAAAGGTTCATTTGGTCCAGCCTTCCAAGTCGATAGAAAGGCAGCAACGAGAGCACCACTTTTGGAAAGTGGGCACGGGCAGCCTTCTCAGGCAGTGGTTGACCGCTTTACAACAAATGCCATTTGCAGGCGGAACCTGGCAAGTTTGGCAAAGATCAAGATGTGTGTTTACTGTAACTTATTGTAACTTTAACACGACCGCGTTTTGCTCATTTGGATGAGGCCTTTGTCAGCCTGGTTTATTGTGCATGAATCAGATGAGCAAGTCTGGGAGATTCCTTTGCACGATGTTGCTGTAATAGAATGGACACGTGCCCAACTTGAATTCCTATTTTTTTTTGATCAAGATCGGTTTACACATCATGGTACGTCATTGGCAAGGTTTTGTGCACCAGAAGTGTTTGGTGCTTCATCCCATCAGATTCAAGTCAATCACATCCTGAAAGCCCATGACCCGACATGAAACCAACCAGCCCGTGGTAAATACTCGTAGCATTTTGTGAAAAACATGTTTGAGGGCACATGAAGCTATATAGTTAGAATATTTGGCTGCATCCTATGCCCTTGGTTGGAAGTCTGAACCACCACTTGACATCAGGGAGACCTTTGGTCAGACACATACACACATATCCACACACACACACACACCAGCACAATCCTCGTTGTATGCACACACACACACTGCTGATGCCATCATTAATTAAGGTTTATCCAAAAGGTCCGATCACTTGTGCATCAACAAGATCCGCAACTGCAAAGGAATCCTGGCCCGATGCCCTTCATGACGAAATGCACAATAGTTGGATCCTGATTTGAGGATAGAACCAAAGGGAATGTCACAGCTATTATCAGGGGCAAATAAACACTTTTGACAATCTCTTCCCTTGCATTTCAAGGTTTTGGGGGCGGTATTCGTGCGATGTTTGCTATGTGCAGTAGCGCATCAAGTAAGGGGTATGCTGCTCATACCGGTTGGCAGGGTAGATGCCAATGTGTCAGTGTGGCTCTGTGCAGGTGCGCACGTTTTCACATGTGAAGACACTATCGCTCTGTGTATATATGTGTATGTGTATATGACACGTGCATGTGACATGTGTGTGTGTGTACGTAGTGTGTATGTATGTAGAATGATACGTTTGTGCAATTGTGCACCGTTCCTTCGTTTTTCAAGAACTGCCATGAATGTAGATGAATGTGTACTGTGAGTGCTGTGCTTCATGTGGGCTTTGTGTTGAAAGCTTCGAGGCAACACAACTGCATCAACCCAGTCTTCCCCGGGCTTCAGGACTTAGAGAAGCTCCAGGCAGGAACTCTCCCACATACACGTGACTCAAGCTTCCAACTATAGCAACAATGAAAAAATGAGCTCTGATCTGGTGTGCTGAGTTGTCAAATCATCGTAGATTGTCGCTCCCTTGTACTGTCACCGTACCCCTTCTGACTCTTTTGGTTGACACTTGAAATTGAAATTGGAAACCAGCTCGCTTGCGCTCTGTGGTAGGCATGGACCTGGACATGCCCAGACCCAGAAAGCAAGCCTTCCCTGGAGGCAGAGTGGGTGCAGGGCAGTATTTGTTGCGTCACAGCGGACTTATATATCGCTTCAGGTTGGCTGGTCGGTCAGTGAGAGAGGTTTGTTGTTGAAAGTGATGAACCGCACAATATGTTACGCACACAAATCATTGAACATTTTTTCAGATATCAAGGGTGGATGTTCCCTAGAATCAGTTGCTCGATAAGCCAACCAGGTGACAAGGTGAAATGCAACATTTCATACATCTCGATCTAACTGCTGTCAAATTTTGTTGCAGCCCAAGTTTCAGAATGCCCAGGAGGTTTGTGATTTGTCAGTCTTGCTTTGATGCATCCTCTTTGTGCAGTTCTGCAACGGTGCAGTTCTGCACCGTGTGGCCGAGATGAGAGGGTGCGGACCTGGGAGAGGGCCTCCGCATGTTTATATGTCAGAAGAGTAGATTTAGAAAAAAGCAAATTCTTGCAGACATTTCAAGTTCTAGCCGTTGGAGTTGCTTATGCTGCTTGTCTCGGACACGTTGCTCAAACTGGCCAGTTTGCCCTTTGAGAAGATGTGTGACTTTCTGGTTTCCAAGCTTGACTCTTTGGAAACGGGATCCTGCTGCTGATGTTGTCCTTGATTTAGACAAATCTTTAATTTTGTACTATGCATTTTGGGTTCCTGCTTGTGCGAAGATAATGAACGCTGTGTGGTGGGACGTCAAATTTAAATGACAGGTTTAGCGGGCAAGATGCAGCCGGAGACTCAAATACTAGAGATCAATGATTGCCACGTGTCATGCCTCCAAATGGTTGACAGAGATCTCATGATCTCAACAGAGCATATTCCTGTGGCAGGTGAAGAAACAGGAGGACATGGCCTCAACCGCGTGACCCCCCACTCCCGAAGTGATGGGCATAGGCCACTTAACGAATGTGATGGCTGCTTGTCCACTCATCAAAGGTAGGCAGACAAGCAGCTGGGAAAAAACATCCCACCTGCTGCAGTGACAACGCCCAACCAACACACAGCAAGTTGGAATTTACCAAGCTTAGCATGTTATTCATTGAACAGGCACAGTGGGTGCAGGTACTTCTATCGTCTTTCTGGCATGAAGAGAGATCCTTGGGACTTCAGGCCAGGATTGTGTTTGTTTTGAAACCTTTGAATAGACTAACAGGTCCCAAATCTGTAAATCAAAGGCATGCAGTTTTACCAGGTAGAGGCTAAGCAGAACCTTTGCATGAGCTGCCAACAGACTGCACCCAATGGCAACAGGCACATGTG